CATGGTTATAGATTTGTGTGAATAGGTCCTCGGCGCACCGCACTGCTACTCTTATTAATCCTTACTGAGGCTTCGTCCGTCATGTGACGGACATCCTCAGAACAGGATGCCACGCTTGACGATAATTATCTATGACGGACGACAGCCTAGCAAGGGTTCATCGGAGCCGCAGGGCGATGCACCGATGACCTATTCGCACAAATCTACAATCACAGCTCCAAGGCAATCCCCCTACAGCTACCGGCGAGGCCAAATTACGGATACCCCCCATTCGCCTCATCAAACGAAATGAAAGATACTCCAGAATCAATCTATTAAGGGATTCCCTAAAGCCCAGTTTTTCTACATAGAGTGCATTATTTATCAAGTCTACATCGCTAAGCATTCGGCTAATTTATAAGTTAACTGCGATCTTCCTTAGTATAATTGGGATATAATCATCTTATTATCATATCTTAGATGGTAAGAGATAATTTTTATCACAATTTTTTGTAGCTTTTGCAAATTACAATTTAATATAGCTATATTTTTCTCCATAGCTGCTAGCATCCTTTGCAGGAAAGAAAGAATATTTTTTATGATCTTGCTAATATTGGCTTTCCAGCCTACACTGGTACAGATCCCTTTAAACTTGTCATTTCTCTTTAAAGTTGTGCCCTTCTCATTGTCAATCTATCTCTTTGTTCTTACCTATGCCCTACTTCCGTATCTTCCATGTGCACTTCAGCCTCCACCCCCAACTCGTCTGCACGTGATCCCGTCGAGTCCAATGAGAGGACAAATCCTTATGCTAGTTTGTTGCGCCCCACTCACCAACACTCATATTCCCATCGAAATCAGAGCCTCTCCCATCAACCGCATAATGTATCAAGGCGATCTCGTCACCGACAACGTCGAGTTGCCCCCGACTCGGATCGCAGACTAGCCGGGCTGTCTACTGAACCCCTTGCGGCTTTTGACGAGTTGGTAGATGATGAATTCAAGTCAGCTCCACCACACTCTGGCCTGCACTCAACGTATTCTGTGGAGTCAGCCACGAATAATGATCGCGATCTGAGTTTGAATCACTCTGGCTCCAAGGTCAATGCTTATTTCGGCTCGGGCAGCTTGTTATTCAAGCGTTCAACAGAAAATCTAAGCATTGGTCACTCTTTAGCCCGATCCACATGGTCAGTCCGTCAGTCTTCACCTGTTCTATCATCAACCTCTTGCTCTTTGCCCGCTCCTGTTGGTCGTGGCAGCAATCGGAGGGTACCAAGGAATTTAGCCAATCAACACAGGCGTCGACCGTTTGGGTTAATTAGCGCGTCCGATAGACGAATTCGGGGCCTGATCAATGGACGGGGACACCGAAGCGAGAAAAGTTTGCATCCACTGGAATTCGCCTCTCAAGGCTCATTGCAACCACTTAATGCCCAGGATCTCAAACAGCAGACTTCTGATCTTCTTGAAATGGTGATTTAAATCTCCCGCTTTCCCAGTTTTCTTTTTCGAATTTTTTTCTATGAAAGGCTCCTAAATAAGGTTTAATATAGTCTGGTCTAATTTAAATTACTCTAGTTGAATTAATTTTTGCCTTACTTTGAAGTGCTTTTCACATTATAAAATACA